TCGGCGCGGTCCGTTTCGTCATCCGGGATCGTCCGGACGAGTTTGCCGACGGGCGAGTCGATTTAAGTCAAAGTCGTGTGTGGTTCAGTGAGTGCATGAATTGCAGCGTTCGTGAGTAATCGAGTCACAAAGGGTTCACCTAAGGCTGTTGATCCTATAGGAACTCAATTTCGGGCCCTCTACATGTTGGTCCTTAGCCCTTGCAACTAAAAGTTGAGTGCTTGAAACCACTCATGCGAGTTCTTCACAAAAATGAGTCAAGAAGTGGCTTGAAGTTCTACGGGAGGTGGGCTCCATTACTAGTCTGCTAAGATGGTCAACCAGGAACTCCTAAGGCTAGATTATGGGTTATGGGAGTAGGAGACTAAGACCTCAAAAAAATGAGGTCAACAATAACATAAGAGAAATTATAAAAATTTACCCACAAAACTTCGAATGCTCTTCTGCACGCACCGCTCATTCTATGTTTCATTCTCGGTCGCGCATTGCCAAGAGCTACTCCAAATTCAACATCGATGACTTAAATGCCTAAAGTTCTTGAACTGTTTTTGCTGTCGGACCGTCTGTCCTAAGCGCCAAGTTTCTAGACACTCTACTACCAACACTGAAACGAGTGTAACTAGGCACAGATGCGCCCTTTTTAGGTGTTGGATTATCTGCGGCTTTATTTTAGAAGATGTTCATTTAAGTGTTGGATTGTCCTACAGTTATGATGGAAACTTGGGATTTGATCGATTCATAAGCAAAATTACACCACAGAGAAAACACACCAGTTCAAGAAATCCAAAATCAATAAATTGAACAGAAGCACAGTACAAAAATTCAGAAAAAAACACACAAAAACTTAACGTGAAAAAACTTGAGAACGAGAAAAAATCATGGAGTCACACCACACTAAAAATTTAACTATGAAAAAGAGAATATTACAGAGTTACACCACTCAGATCCACTCTCTACACCACTGAAACTTATAACAATTCATGCTCGTTCCTCTCTTAATCTTGCAAGTGAAAGCACTAGCCGAAATCTACCATCAACTTGCTCCACGCAACTTCGCTCCTATTAAGCATCTTTGAGAATACACTATGAAAGAGTACGACCCTTCATGAAACAAGGGCTTAAATCCCTAAATACATACAAACCGCAAATGGCAATGTAGCCCTGCTCCAAAGCATTGTCTTTCCACTCGCTCGGGTTGACGTCACAAATCTGGGAGCTGTCCTGCCCCTACTGGGCGTTGGAATTCTGAGTATTTGGTTTGCTAAAGGAAGACCGGCGCCTAGACACCCACCTATGGCATAGGGATGATGACCCTTCCGGACTCGGGCGCAGGACACCCAAAATGGGTGTTGGGGCACCCACTGCCCAAGAGCAAGAGCGCCCCTTGTGAGGCATAAGAGGGGCGCCGCCCCCTCTGGACCCAGGCGTGGAGGCTCTTGAAATGGGCATTGGGGTGCCCGCTACCCAGGTGCAGGGGCGCCTCTTGTGAGGTGCAGGGGCGCCTCTTGTGAGCTGCAGGGGCACTACTTTTGGCACCCCCTTCCATTGTTGTTTAATGCTAGCATATAAGTAGACTCCACACTCAGCTCGCCCAACGAAGTGTTAGGTCGCCCAGTGTATATGCATGATTCAATTTTCCTACCTTGATGCAATTAGGCTCCACACATTACAATCACAATAACATCAATATACCCTCGACTGACTTATTTTACTTAATATGCTCCAAATCAATTTTCAAGGTCCTTAGTTATATGTTCTACGAGATCAATAAAAATCATATCAATATTCTTTCTTTACCCTTTATATTTTTTCCATTAATTATCTAAGCACACAAACCTATTTTACCATAATTCTTTCTACCAAGTTCAAACAAGTGACAACCACAATTAATTCAATTCAATTTGAGATTTTCATTGAAACAACAAACAATCAAGGAATTGTAACATCTTAGAGCTGAGTTACTTTTCCAAATTTTCCTTTTATTTGGGTAGTGAATTTAGACGTGATGAGAGTTGGTGGATCACCTTTGAAACATACTCGTTAACTGTGGTGTTTATGACCTGCAAGATTGTCTCCTTCTTCACTTTAGAAGGTCCAATGATTTGTATAAGAACATCTTTAGGAACCTATTATGAATGGAATAAAAAGAATAAAAGCAAGCATAGTTAAGTTTAAGAAAAATATGAAAAAGCAGTGTAAATGTTTCATAATAGTCATAGTCTGGTGAAGGACATGAATTTTGACTGTTATTTCAAGCTAATACTAATCTCTCGTATTCATGTTAACTCGACAAAAAATACAGATAGAGCACGAGTTATATTTTCTTTTTGTGGAGTTGAAGGCTAGGTGGATGTCTAAGGAATTGTCACGGCTTAGTGTCCTAAATAAGAATCCAATATGTTCAAATTAATCCAATCAATATCTGAAAAAAAAAATTTAATCCAATCAACCAAAAAAAGAAATTCATAATTCATAATTTAAATAATCAAGAAATAAAACTCTAACTTTTAAGAACTTAAAATAACATTGTAAGGTAAGATACCAGCTGCAATAGCTGACCTGGAAAGTAATTTAGATTCAGAAGCTGCAGCTATTAATAAAATTATTAATTCCATTTCAGTAAATATTGCATGTACATTTACTCAAAGTTTAATCATTTTTTTCCAAATGAATGTAAGCGTCAAGAGATTTAAGAAGTCCTATTTTTGATAGGGTCGCCAATAGGTGTGTTTCATTCCTAAATCTCACTTTATAATTGCAACTTATGTAGAAATAAATTAATATAAAAGAATACTCTCCATATAATTATTTATTTATTTATTTACGTTATTAACTTCAAGCATAATGTAGGCTACGAAAATTCATAGCCCGGACTCTCTTTGAGAGCTGTGTTTAGTATTTCGGGTCAAATTGTTAGAAGATAGATGATATAGTAGATAAGACACTACCAAGAGATGTCACCCTCATTTTGCGAGTACTTCAAGATATAGGGTTTAAGGTTTCCAATTGGCGCAAGCCCCTATGGTTAATTACTCCTCTCGATAATAGGAGAGCACTTTTGATTAAGGCTAATCATTAAAAATTGAATGTACAAAGTATAGTAGCAACATAAATAAGTTTTAGGTTATAAATTTTGTCACCTTAAGCTTAGAGTCAATGGCTTTGAAATGATAACAAACCTGATCAAGATTGCATGATTCCATCATCCCAAGTCGTCGTGATCTCAGATCTAAATGGTCGGAAGAGGAACTCGGCCCAACCTAACCAAAAGATCCTTCTCAGCAACCATAGGCTGCATCATTTAAGAGACTCTTCTTGATATGGGGTGAATGTTTTCTAAGAGGAAAATTTTCTATAGACCTAACTAACAATGGGCTTTGTGTCAATCAAATGTAACATTATGATCAACAAATCCAAAGGTAGAAAGCGATTGAAGAACATACATGTCACAACTCGACCTAATAGCTTAGAATTAACCAAAGTCTGTAGTCGGAAGGTGAAGGCATTTACATAACTATCCACAGATTTATAAAATATTCCAATATATAAAAGAGCTGCTAAAATTCTCAAAGTAAAATAAAATAAAACATCCAAAATTAATAACTTAATCTAAAGATCACATATCAAACCAGTATTGAATAGTGTATCACTATCTGAAAAGAAAAATACAAAAAAATTATCATCATAAATACTTAGCAGCCATGGTTCTCCTATAAAATAAATCTCTCATACCAAACATATCAACATATAACAGTTTTTTTTTAAAGAACCATTAGTTGCAATAATAAGTTTGACTTAGTGAGTAATAATAATCTTAATATGCATTAAATTATTATGCTAATACGACATATGAATGATTAAAAGAAAATTCAATTCATTACCTCATAAAACTTTAAATTTATCCATTTTCATTTCATTTTACCGTCATACCCAATTTTAAATACTGAAAATAAACCTACTATGATTAATGATTTAAAAATTGAAGTTTTGAGTGCAAATTCATTAATTGTAGTAGGTCTATTTTCAGTATTTAAAATTAGAGCTTTGTTCCAAAGCTTTTTTCATAGAATATTCTGAAAAAGGAATTTTACTAAAGAGGAGGATTTTCCTTTTGACTCGATAATTATTTTAAACATTTTATTTCGAGTCTTTTCATCCTTAATTTGAGATGCAATTTTAATTATCTCTTATTTCATTGAAGATGATAGAGTGAATAAGCCGTTCATTTTGACTATTGAATTGTAATAATTTTCATTATTACATTTGTACTCAGATTTTGTGTAATTATTTTCATCAAATTCTCATGAATAAGAGGAATTGTCCTCAATTTTGCCTGAATTATTAGACATCTCTGTTTTTTCAAGAGTTGAATTTAATATGATTTTAAAAATAGATTGCTTAATATTTTCGTCAATATTAAACTCATTTATTTTCTTTTTAACTATGCATTTATTTGCATAGTGGTCGGTCTTGCCACATTTGTAGCATTTAATTTTTATCTCTCTTTTTCTTATGAGAAATCTTTGGTCATTTCTCTGAATAATATTTTTCAGAATGTTGTTTATGATATTTTTTTTATGAAAAAATTTTACTTCTTTTGGAAATTTAGGAATATCATAAGTAAATAGTTCACAGAAAGTGTCTAATTATTTTCTTCTGTCAACATTTACTTTTTAATTTGATATTTCAATTTGAGATCTGTACATAAGGCTAAGTCTTCTTGTACACACGTATTTTATTAGTTGTCCATATGTCAGATTTTCATATGGAATACGTTTGATGGTTGTACCTTGTAATTGTCTTTTTACCTTATCGGTAAAAAGATTAGGTCAACATTCAATAAAGTTTTGTTTATAGTGTGTAATATTTGCATCTGGTGGAAATATTACTCTAATTAAAGAGACATCTTTGTACTAATGAAAATATGTTAAATTTAGACATCTTGATTTTTGTAAAGGAGAACGAATTTGTTCTCCATTATCAGATACTATGCCAACAAAATGTTGTAAAATATGGATAATTAATTTATAAACAACATCAATATTTTCTTGATTAGGATTTCTTATTATTGTAGTACTTAAAAATTCTTCTCTTTGTTCTTGAGTTAAATAAGTATCTCACCAGCCTTTGAGAATATCAGTGAACCCACATGTTAACTGGGTTACGATTTGATGGACTCGATTATTATAACTCTGGACTGCAGAGGCATAATTCATCATTTGTTGTAAGACGATTTGTATTTGACGATCAGTCATGCAGTCAATGTCTCATTTAATATATTTGATAAATTATAATCATTTTAATATTTATTATTATCTTCTTGATATAGAACGTCTACAAGAGTAGGTCGAGGTTAATAGTATCAAACTGTCTACCTAGTTTGATATGAAGATGAAGCTTTATTGCCTTTTAATTTATGTATTTTAAATAATTCTAATTTTGAATTATTATCTTAAAATTATTCTTCAATGTGTTCAATTTTAATCTTATCGTTATCATAATTTTTTGATTGATCAGTTAATTGATCATCTTTATTTTAGATCATAGTTTTAGTAGATTTTATTATTTTAATTAATTCTTTAAAATCCTGAGTCAACATTCCTATATTATCAATAAAATCTTTGAACACATTTAATTATACCAATAAAATCTTTGACGACATTAGTTTCTAGAGTTTTTCCAAAAGCATTTCGGTCAAAATTTAAGTTTATATTATCTAGATCTAATACTGTAGGAGCAGTTGAAAAATAAATAGATTCCAATATTTCACCAGAATTAATTTTCCATTTTTTTGTTATCATGTCTAATTCATGTTCTAGGTTTTTGGTTATTTGATTATTAACGATGTTAAAAATGAACGAAATTCTTTTCCTTCATAGAATCTTTTTTTATTTTCTTCAAAATAAATTTCAAAAAAAATTCTTTTATCATCTTCTGTAGTATAACTATGATACTAATTTTTGAATGATTCGTATTTAGGTTGTGGATGATCATTGATTAAAGTTTGTATGATTTGCTTATTAGGTAATTATTTTAAGTCAGTCATTATTAAAATTAAAACTAGCTTCTGATTGTGAAAAAAGATTTTCCATCCTAGTTGAGTGTAATAGATTGTTACTTGACATATTTATTCTATTTATTTGTTAATTTATCAATGAATTTTCATCGAAATCATTTTGAGATAAATTTGAAGAGGGATAAAACATCCGGGGAAGAATGATGGATCTTCTCAAATTAAATCTTATCACAACATCACCGGCAATATCTTGACTAACTTGTTCAAAATCCTGATTAATTATAGATTGGGGATTTACAGCAGTTTGTAACTGTCATGACTCACGAAACCTTACTTCATCCAATTTTATAGTCCTATTGATAGTTATAATTGAAGCCACAAATTTGTTTCTACGATTGTAGATCTACTATTAGTTTCATGTTATTTTTAATATTTGGACATAAAGTGTTCATTACCTTAGAATAAATTCTATAAATTATAGCAATGATTTTAGATCCAGGTAAAAATTCATACTCATGTAATTTTATCTATATTTTAGCTGTTTCAAAAAGATTTATGTCTGTAAGTGACAGACTTATATTTTGGGGAAGTGTTAAAGAAAATTGGTCCATGACACGGGCTGGTTTTCATAACTCTCATTAACGATTGTGCTCGATTCAGGCATCTTGCATCTTTTAAGCAAGTTAAAATTGAAGTGTTTAATCCTCGTAGTGTTAGAAGTTTAAATGCTACTTGAACTAAGTCTATATGAATATATTTATAATTTTCTAAGTAATTATTTAAATCTCCTTGATTTAATTGAGAAATTATTTTTTCTTGTTTGTCTATTGTTAAAAATAGTTCAACAGTTTTAATTGATGATTTACCTTTAAAATCAAACATTTCAATTTTATAGATTAGAGTTTTATCCACTTTAGGAATAGTTCATTTATTTAAATCTTTTTCATTTGCAGGATATTCCTGCAATTCTGCATTTTTAATATTATTACTTTTATATAGAGATCTTGTATGTTTCGAGATATTATGGTACTATTGTATCGTGAAGATGTGCTCATGAAAGACAATCGATAAAACATATAGAACTCTTTTTCGTTAAATAAGTTTAATATGATAATCCAACAACAGCTAGATGAAAATATTATTGTTCCACTAAGGATTTAATCCAAAGGAAATGAGTCAACAAAAACCAGGCAACAAAGAGTCCATCCCGGACATAAAAAACACCCACATACGATGATGGCTATCGGATTAAGCTTAGCTTAGAGCAATAAGATAATCAAACCAGAAGATCGAACTCAGTATAATCTTGCATGTCAGTTAAGGATATTATTTTACAGAGCAACACCCGACTTTACTATGCATGATATACATATCCTGACAGAGTTAGGTTACCATATTAAAATTACTTACAGAAACTCCAGAAAAAATTTAGCCACTCATGGCTCTGATACCAATAAATATGTTTGTGTGTGTGTGTGTGTGTGTGAGAGAGAGAGAGAGAGAGAGAGAGTAAAGTAATAAGTCATCATGGAGGCATCATAAAATGTGGTTTGGATTAAACTATAAAAAGGGCAGGGAAAGAAGGATGACTAGTGCAGCCGGTTGGCACAGATGTTGAAAGTGCGGGCATGTGTTTGGCCATGACGAATTGTGGAGACCAAGAAAAAGGGAGTATCAATAAATATACCTCTATATGGGAAAAAAGGAAGTTTTGCTTACCTCTGGCGTTTTCCCTGCAAAAGTTGATGCCATCCACCATGAAAAACCAAAAGTAACAAATTCAGTTTCTAACCACAATAGGTGCATTAATCAAACAAACAAAAATAAATTCAAACAAATTGAAAGTTGATAATATGTAATGAATGCCAAGGTTTTGATGGACAAATAAAAAAGATAGATATTGCAGTTAACAATTTCGATTGTACAAAAAAAAAAAAGTTTTTTTCTCTGAAGTTTTGAAAATCATTGAACCACAATGCGTGTTTAACTACTAATTGTAGCTTACTTAGGATAATGATAAAAAACAATGGCTCTCATTAGGTTACAAAAATACTAAATAATAACGTTTTCCATCCATATGAATTAAAGGTTCATTTTTCTATTTTCATTTGATAGACATGAATGTAGATTAAATATAACCGGATAGTATACTATATTCTAGACATAATTTTTCTTGCTTCATTAAGAACAGTTTAAAGAGAAAAATGCTCCATATTTGGAGAAAACAAAATACAAAGCTTGATATCCTATACTACGCAAGATAAAGGCGTGCCTAACAAGTAACTCTTAAATTTCTACGAAAATGCACCTCCTTTAACTCTCCTGAAACCAGGAATTGGTTGTGCAGCATCAACAAGCTTGGAGAAAACATCATCAAAAATTTCTTGTGTCCTTGCACCAGAAACATCAACCCTTACCTACATTTCATTATGAACGAGCAGATTAGAGTAAGAATGAAGATAGTAATCAAACCTTTCTCTAGTATCAAGTACATTTTAGTTAAATCTCTTTAATATATCACAAGGTCACATTCATAGAAAACTATAGAAATAAAAAGGAGAAGACAAAGGTACGTACCTTGATCTCTCTCTCACCAACATCAGCATAAACTCTAAAATCTTTGAAACTAGTTGCAGACTGATTGAGACTTAGAATTCCTGTTGTATAGAACAATATATTACTGAGAATCTCTAAATCAAATGCAAGAAAGGCAAATAATTGTGTACCTGAAGAAACTGAAGAGAACGAAGTGAAAATACTTTGCACGGCACTGCATGTAAAACTCTATTATTAATATATGGAATTAAATAGGATAAATGGAAACCCAGATTGAATTTATCATTATCTTAGCAAAAACAAAGGAATCTCTAAGAAAACTAATGATGTAATTTCACAAAATTCTAATCATGTAAAACATAGTGAAAATGCAAAACTGGAAGGGAAGAAATGAAAACAAACTGACAAATGTAGTTCCATCCATCGCAATGGTTATCAAAAAAGAAAAAAAAAACAAATCTCAAGTGCAATGATGGCTCGCTTAGGAACCAATTTTTACAAAATAACGTCATTGAGTAGCTCAAGTAGAAAAATTGCTGACAATGAGTTATCATGTCGGAATAAGGAAAATAATTTTTAAGGCACTGAAATATTATGAGAAAGGCTTTGATTGCCAAAAAGCACTAGCTCAAGCGGCATGGCCTCTCTATCAGTCAGAGTAGAATACACAAGTACAATTCTGGCCTATGACTTTATATGACCTTCTTTAAATTAAGTATTTACAACCTCCCTGAATATCAATCAGTAGCAGACGTCATGCCTAGTTATATGCCAAACTTTCTATCAATAAAATAAAATTATAAATGTTTTTATCAATCATATCAGCAATACTTCTGATGCCAGGAAAAAAAAAATCACTACAAATATTGTCAGGAACATTAACTCAGTCTGCTAGCTTTGCTTTCTTAGCATGATTTGCTTGAAATCATGAAAAGACAAATGATGTGAAAAAAGGAAATCATGATCATGTGAAAAAAAAGTAAAATCAAATGCTGTCCATTCAACTCGAATTAGCTCTCATCAATAAAATAACTCATATACAAAATACCTCCTAGCAGTTCCAAAGGAGTCAGTTTTCAAACGAAAAGCAAAAAAATTTCTTTGGGGCAACAGTACTCTGGCATGGACGTCAAATTTTAGCCTTGGACCAATTATCTGTGAAATCAAAAGGAAACAAGAGGACTTTTACATTGTTGCACATTAAAGTTACGCAGCACAAGACTTAAAAGAAGCAAACATCACAGAAGGCACCATAATACCTGAATTCTGGGTCGAATAACATAAATGACTTCAAACAGCTAGGCAATGGATGCACTAGTAAGAATATGATAAGAAATTGACACTGAACAAGTTGACTTTTGAAGATATAAGACACAGACACAACTTTGACACAACATTATAAATGGAGGGGAGACATGTGTTGATTCAATTAACAGTGACTGAATACTACACTCTGATTTTCTCTAAAAAAATATCTTAACATTGTAAGAAAATCAATGAAGTTACTCAAGTGGTCTCCTAATTTTGACCCAAATCATGAATCTCCTACTGTACCGGTATGGTTTATTCTACCTGGTCTCAAGCTGCACTTTTTTCATCATCAGATTCTTTACTCTATTGGGGCCATACATGGGGACCCTATGAAGCTAGATCTACCCACTTTCAACCTAACCCGACATTCTGTTACCAGACCTTCTGTTATCAGAATACTTGTGGAAAGAGATATTACTTTACCTAACGTTACTGAAGTCTGGTTGGGCACAACTCACAATGGATATTGACAACAAATCGTCATGGAGCATAGAGCTCCTTATTATTCTCATTGTAAGATGTTTGAGCATACCCTTTGATAAATGACATAAGCTCCATCCTAATTTGAAATCTAAAGATCAAGTGAATAAAAATGGATCTAACCCCCTGGATATATCTGTTCCACTTGGAGAGAAAACTACCACATGACAGGATTGGTGTCTAACTTAATTGCCCCTGTGGACCCCTCCTGAAAATACTGTATCTGCGAATGATATGAAGCTGGATAGCTCTGAGCAACCTACACTTTAAAACCCTATTGAAAACAACACTGAAGGATCCCTACCTACACGGACTGGGGTAGAGGTGATAACTCATACCTCACGATAACTCATAATACCTCACATACACTAGAACCTATTGTGGGTACAACTGTTGGCAATCCTTCTACTACAACACTACCACCTCATCCGAATGAGCAACAATCTTCATATGAGAAATAACAGGTCTACACTTTCAGGAGGAAGAAGAAGAATGGAAATCTACTTGAGCTAAAGAATCTAATGGATAATATTTTGGTTACTTCGGGCAATGGTATGCACCTCACCAATTTATCAGCTGGTTCCCATCCGAGAACTAGAGGCAGAAGAAGAACTAAATTTTTAGGTTTTTTCTTTTTTGTGTGTGTTGTGCCGTGTGGGCTGGGTGCTTATTTTTATATATATATATATATGTATATACACATACATAGAAAATGAGTCAGCTTGAATCTCAAAATAATCTGCTGACCTAAAAAGGAATGACGTAGCAAAGGTAGGCTCACCGAAAAATGACCCGTCAGCCCAGAAGACTCACCGGCTTATGTTAGCACGAGATCTTCTGCAACGTTTCGGCAATACACGCCCAATCGACTCATCCTAAAGCCAGAGACAATCGAGGGTTCTCTCAAGACATCATGTTATCACAAGCTCCAACCACCCCAGTGGGATCTCCTCACCTAAAGGGCAAACTACTCATCAGGTTACAGTGACTCGCTCTCTGCCCGATGACCTAGCTTTACTCAGCTCGCAAGAACTCCCTCGACAAGATTTGAGGGTTGACAATCAGATCAATATGTCCGGTTGGTTGGTGTCAACCGACTGAATCATTCCTACCGACTATTATAAAAAATTCAGCCAATCGGACCTGCTTGAAGAATCAACCGGCCAATGGTCCATATCCATCCGACCGACCGACAGTATTGATCGCTTCACCAAGTCGGCCCAGTTGATCGAGCCGAAGAACAACAAGGCCCTACCACCAAAGGAGTATAATATTTAGAATAACCTATATAGACCCTAATTAAATAGGAGCATAAATGTAACTTCAACTCTTATACCCCATTTGTCTTCAAATAGGGGATCATTACATGAATAAAAGGTTACACAACTCCCCCAATTTACGTCTCTTTAGTTCACTCCTCTTTTTCCTTCTCTCTTCCTTCTGTCATACGCTTTATTCCTAGGGTGTGATTCAAAGAACAATCTCAGATTCAACTATATAAATATATATATATATATATATATATATATATATTGAAAGCCTAACAGGGTCAAAATACATAGTATCAAGTGGCTAGAGAGCGACTCAATTTGGTCTTGTCTCTGCCTCTAGTTCTAAGGAAGGAGCAAGCTAATAAGCTGGTAAGATGATTGTCATTGCAGCAGTAACCAATGTATCATCCAATATGTTCCTGGGCTGGAGTCGGTCTCCATTCTTCTTCTTCCTCCTAGAATAGACCTGTTAATCCTCATCCGAAGAATCAGTCTGATGGGGTGGTAGAGCTGAAGCAGAAGGAATACTAACCGCAGTACCCATAATATGTTCTACTAAATGTGATGTATGAGTTGTCTCTACACCGGATACTTTCTGAAGAAGTGAAGCTACGAGATTCTCCTGATTATCAGTCTGAACACTATCAGTCTGAACACTGTCTGAACACTGTCATTTGTAGGTAATAGTCTATCAGTATTGTTTTCTATGGGGTTTGAAGGTGTCAGCATCATATCACTCGTAGTAACAGTAACAACATTGTCATGGGGGGCTCCTCAGAGCAACAAACACCTCCTATCTGGTAGTATCCTCCGCAAGTGGAACTAAAATGTCCAGAGCAGTGGGGTTAGACTCATCCTTATTCACTTGAACCTTAGATTTTAAATTTGGATGAAACTTGTGGCATTTATCAAGGACATGACCAAACATCTTACAGTGGGTACAATATGAGGGTCTGTGCTCCATGACGATTTGTTGCCAATAACCATTATAGGTTGTGCCCAGTCAGACTTCAGTAACATCAGGTAAAGTAATATCTATTTCCATAAGTATTCTGGCCACCGAGAGTCTGGTTAGGTTGAAAGTAGGTAGATCTAGCTTCAAAGGATCCCCAAGGATGGCCCCAATAGAATAGAGAACCTGATGGTGAGAAAAATGCAGCTTGAGACCAAGTAAACTAAACCATACCGGTACAGTGAGAGTTTCATGTTTTGGGTCGAAATCAAAAGACCACTTGAGTAGCTTCATAGGTTTACCAGCGATGCTAAGATATTTTCTGAAGAAAATTCGAGTGTAGTCCTCAGACACGGTTAACTGAATCAATACATGTCTCTCATCCATGAGCCCCACTTTCCACTTTCCTGTTAATTTGAGATCATCAAAACTTTTTATGATAATTTTCATAGGTGAGTCCCCACTGAAATTTCTCAATAAGAGCAAATTTGAATTTGTCAGTCAGCATTGAAATTTCTGACATGGAGAAAAAGAGTTGTCTTCTCACTTTTTATGCTTGTATCTTAATAAATGGACAGTCACATATACCATCACGATGCTCCTTATAACTTGAAGGGAAAACAACCGCCGTCTCCTCCTGAAAATTACCCACCATGTGGGCAAAGGAGAAGGTTTTGCCAGGTTCAACAGAAGAACAAGAAAGCTCCATCAGAGCAAAGAAACTGCAAGTCAGGCAGAGGCAAAAAAACGAGCCTGAAGAGCTGCACAGGGACCGAATGCGTAGAAGACAGAAGACAACACGAAGTCGCAGCTCGGCAGAAACCGCAGCTCGACCCGCGCAGAAAAGAACCGCAGAAACTGGATGGCTAGCTGGAAGGCGCGAAGGAGGAGACGATGAAACCGCACGCCGAAGCCTTTCGTCGTCGTTTGGCGCGAGAGGGAAGACGATGATTCGTCGTCGTCGAGTGCGGGAAACAGCGCCACGTCGTTGTCGAGTCAGGAATTAAACCTAGGACGCCGATGCCGACACCAACGCTGACACGCCATTGCGATCCTTAAACGAGATAGCTTATATATATATAATTTTAAAATAATATATACTTAAGCATAAAGTAAATAAACATAAAATAAAAAAAAGATCCTAACAGTATAAAGATGAAAAAATAATGATATTTAAGAATAAAAATAAATTAAAATGATTGTCATATTATACACAAATCAAAAAAATAGGCAAAGAAAAGGTAAAAAAGTTATGAAAGATATTAAGTAAAACAAAAAATAATAAGTAATCAAAATTTAACAAAAAATAAAAAAAAATACAATCATCAATAATTTTTTAGAATGTTGCCTACAAAAAATAAATATTAGTTATTTGGTACAACATAAATCATCAAAACATAATACTTTATTATACATTTTGTTTTTATTTATAAAATTTAAATATAATTTTTAAAGCACGTGGTCCAAATTTTATTATTATTATTATTAGACACGTGATAGGTGTGATCAATACGTATCAGATGTATGCCACACGTGTCATTGTCCAACACTATATTTCTACTTGTAATAAAATTTTGGTGCATCATAGGCTATAGCTGACGAAAAGAAATATAACACAGTTAACATTCTCAAAGAAAAATTGATCAACCACAGCTCCATGTAAAAAAAATCAATAACCAACAAAAAGGGCAAAATAGAAATGGTAGAAACTATAGAATTATAGCTGCAACACAACGTAGTACAAAGAGAAGAGGAAACAATTGTTGTTATCTTGCAAAAATACAGCATCTTTAAAGGTCTCATTGGTGTATGGTTATAGGGTTGGTGAGCGGTTGTTGGAGTGATTGAGCTAGGAGACAGAAACTTTAAGGGTCAGGGAGAGGTCGTTGGGACTGATTTTTGGGCATATTTGGATGGTAGAGTGAGAACTGGTTTGCCCTGTGGCATGCCCAATTTTTCAGAGTGGCAGTGAAATATGTGCTTCAGAGGAGAAACAAATCGTGGGATGTTGGCTATAGCTGGATGCCATAAAAATGTAAGATGCCTCCATGGTGTTTTATTTTGAATGCTTTGCCAAGACTCTGAAGGTTAAAGATGGCTGAATTTTGATTGCAGTGATCATTATGCCATCCACATAAACT